TTCCTACCCATGATGTTCCACTACCTGCCCTCACTGTCCCTGCCCATATCCCTGTTCCGATCCATGTCCCTGCCCATATCCCTGTTCCTACCCATGTCCCTGCCCATGTCCCTGTTCCAACCCATGTCCCTGCCCATATCACTGCCTCTACCCATGTCCCTCTCACTAACTCCTCCCTACAATGGAATATAATAGCTTTTCAGACTTTCAAGTTGTAGACCATAAAAAGGTGTGCAGCTGGAACGACCAGATCACTCACGGAAGCTGTATGCTTATGCCCTTCACCTGCTTGTGTGTTCTATCTGTGTCCAGGGAAAACTCTTCATCACTCGCCTGGCCACCGGCAACACCGACGACAGCACACCTCATCGCCATCTGTCAGAAAGCACACAGAAAGTTAGTGCACATTCTTGTTAGCATAGCAGTTATCCGGCTGTCTGTACAGTCAACTTCGCTAGTAATGACTGCGGATATAACGACAATTCGCGAATAACGACAGAATTCGATGCCCAGAGCAAAGTCCCATCCCACTGTAATACATAATGAGACTTCGGGTATAACGACACCTGGCGAATAAGGACACTGTTTTGATGCCCCGCCGCCGAGTGTCGTTATAAGCAAAGTTGACTGTATATATCTATAGTCCTTGTGGAATGTAGGCTGAGAAGTACGTCCCTGGAGTGTAACATTATCACCACTGCCGGTGTGTTGTGTCTGTCCAGGTGGCTTTACAACCGATTATTAAAGTCCATTCCTGCGTCGCTTCGACCGGACATGCGCCTCAAGGCCACAGGCTACACGCTGTTGGGAGGCCGGCGTCAGAAGTGGGGCCACAGCCGCCGGTGGCATGGTGACTACCTTTCAGTTGTGAGTGCTGCTGTGTCTGCATTTCGCACGATCGCCGTGTTATATTCTGATAGCGATGGTAACTCTTAGATAAGAAAGCCGGCTGCTGGCTTCCCAGGCCACTCTAATAGTACTTCCGCTGACCTTCAAGACCCTCTTTCATAAGCTGTATGAGCTACTATGTGTAGGCCTTCGCGGATAATACTAAAAGAGTTTGCGTATTCTGTGCTCAAAGTATTGAAATCGGCAGAACCGTGCATAGTTTGACGGGCAATGCCTTGAATTCTGCTCCTCTTCTTCATCCCTGCACCAAATCAATGTACGCCGGAAACTAATGACAAAGTACCCAACTCAGGCTGCTGGTTTTCTGCTGGCATTATTCGCCCAGGACTAGCTTTGTGATGTGGCTGATGATAAAATAAATTCTAGTAGCTGTTACTGCATGCAGACTCATTGCAGAGTATAAATGTTTACTATTTTTTACTAGAGTATAAGTGAACGGCCAATCCCGGTGTGTGTGTGTGTGTGTGTGTGTGTGTGTGTGTGTGTGTGTGTGTGTGTGTGTGTGTGTGTGTGGCGCTGTGACAGGTGCACACTACATATAGCTGCAGACGAGATGCTGATGTCACGTTTGCCTTGCTCTGCGTTGCCACCTTGTTCTTGTATGTTTACAGAATCCAACGTTCCGCAGTCGTCTAAAAGCTATTCAAAAGGAGGCCAAGTTTGAGAAAGTGCTCTTCTCCAGTGCCATTCGAAAGGTACCTTTTTATGCTGATCTTAATTATTGTAATTCATAAGACCAAAATACTTGCACATGTACATGCATGCAAGTATCGTCAACCTAGCATTTCAGTGCTCTGTGGAGGTATAGAGGTGGTTTCACATCTTTGTCGCGACGTGACTAAATTTGCGCAGAAAGTGATCATAGCATGCGGACAATGGAACCAACATGGCCGACATCATGTGACCTATAGCTGCAGGAGATGAGTGGAGTTGGAACCAAAATGGCTGTCCCGGTCATGGTCATGTGATGGATGTGAAACCCGTCCCTATTTTGAACCAGCAGCTCATATAAGTCATGTTGCTTCCCTGTTTCTTCCAGGTCAACACTAAGTTGAAGGTGCAAGACCGCTGTATCCTGGTGACCGAGCAGTCTATAGTCTTCGTAGATGACACATTTGCTGTGACAAAGCAGCCAATGAAGTTCAACGAGGTGAGTGTGGGGAGCAGTAGCTACGCCTGGTCACTCTGTCTTGTTTAGAGCATCTAGATATGCAGGACGCTTTCACTGTAAAAAGAACAGTAGAATTAATGGTGCATTATAAGTTTGAACCTCTCAGTTAAGGACGCTCCGGAGTGTAGATGTCTCTGTCCGGCGTCGGAAGATGTCTTGCTTACAGAATTCAGTACAGCCTTGATCGAGAACACTAATCCTGAACAAGGTGGTGTTTGTTGTCGAGACGTGTTCTCTAACGGAGGTTCTGCTGCATTCCGTGTGGGTGCTGCTGTGTTTCATTGTTCTCTATGCTGTGCTCCTGCTGCTTTGCTTTCATTGCTCATTGTCCATGTATGTGGTGGACAGGTCACGGAGATCCAGGTCACGAGCGGCCATGACCAAGCGGTAGTACTCGTTTCACCAGCCGGACGTAACAAGCGTGACTGGGTTTTCTCCCTTCAGCAGCCGGATGTCCGAGATGATTTTATTGGTGAAATGGTGTCGGTGATCTGCCACAGTGTGACCAGGTAAGAGTGAGACTGGTATCTCCTTTGGACACCTAGTCCTGGACAAGGATCAATGCATACATACTCAGGGCTAGCCAAAGAAGGGTGTGTGTGGGGGGGGGGGGGGGGGGGCTACTCTGATAGCTCCCCCTCCCATACTCTGGTAGCATACCGAGTGCTACCAAACTATCCGATTTTTCGGACAGTGTCCGATTTTCGAAGGCTCTTCCGAAAACCGGTCCGAAAACGGAAACGTCCGAAAAGCAGCCAAAATGTCGGAGATCATTACTTTCATATGCAGAAGTCCTGTACTTTCACTTTTCAGCGCAACTGAAGGCACAAATCACTGTACATTTGCTTCTAAAAAGGCTCGCGCTTGGCTGTGGAAGTGCAAAGTAACATGCCTGGATCAGGCTGGATGGCATGTACACTGACCATCACTGTCTGTACAGAGTCAGTGTGCGACCACACTCATCATTACACATGACAACTCCGGGGTTACCATGGCAACGAAGCGAATTTTCATGGTGTTTAGGCGATATTTTGAATTCTCTGTAAAAAAATTGCCGAGGAGAAAAATTCGCACCATGTGGCCAGCCTTGACGGTGAAGGGTGTCCGATTTTGGGCGAAAATTATTTGGCAGCGTTGCATACCCCTACTATCTTTTTGTTGATTTTTGTGTTTTTTCAGTTCACACAACGAAAATTCGGGCACAAATCGATTGTTCCGGGTGGACACTGCGCCCGTCCCTTGCTTTTTTGTGTGACAAGGCGATTTTGGAAAATGGACGCCTCTTTTCTATTTTTTCCTGGCTGTCCCTGCACACCAGCCAGCTTATTAGCTAAGAAGGCAGTGCACTGCTGCCCCTCATGAGGGTATGCTGAGAGCCAGCGTGTTGTCTGTGTGTCTCATGTATGATGTGCTAGGTTGGTGGGAATTTGATTCGACGAGTGTTTCCCGATCATGTCATTGATTTGTATCTCGTACATGCCTACTTATATGCATTCACGTACCTTCTTTGCCTTCTGCTGCTGCTGTTTCCCCACCAAGGCTCTATGGGGTTTGCCCGCATGTCACTGTGGATCAGCAACTCAAGGCCAACATCGGAGGAGACGATATCACTGTTGACGTCGACTACCAGTTCAACGCAAAGCCAGAGTTCAAGAAGACCGGATCGAACTCTCTCACACTGCTCTGGCCAGCGTAGTAGTAGCACCGCTCATCATCTCAAGCAGACCTATCACACTCAGTCGCTGCTGTCCTTGCAGCCGCGTGCAGATAAATCCTGTAAATTGTTGCAATGCTCCTGTACATTATTTTCTAGCTGGGCGCAGGCCGCTTGTGTACTTGCCCATTATTTCTACTGCTGCTGTCGTTGCCGCTGTACATAACAGGCCTCGTAGCGCCCACTGCCGCTCCACCGTAACCACGGTAACCCCTGGGTGGCGCTGAGAAACTTGAATATTAGTACCTAGCCGTAGTGCATTGCCCGACCGCCGTCAGAGACAACCGTTGTGCACGGTGGTTCAGTGCCTTTGACCCCCGCCGTGCGTACTAGGCATTGCCAGCCAACTGTCAACACGCCGCTTCCGATTTTTACCAAGCCGCATGGGAGTCGTTTCCACTACCCATGCTAACTCCGACGAGGTGTCACTCGTTTGCCTCATCTGTTGTATATGTGTCTTATGCCAACCCAGTCCGGACTGGGCTTCTCCGTACACCTCACCTTCCCCCCCCGATAATGAATGCATTTAACCCATATCGAGAGTCAGCCGCTGAGATCCTTTTGAACATTCTTGTCCCCCTTTGGGCTACCCCGTCGCCTGGCTGCCCCATCTGTGCTATCTATACATGACGACACACAATTTGTGTCGTCATCCCATCTATCTATGTGCGTGGGTACGTGTGTGTGTGTGTATGTGTGGGCGTACGCGTATATGTGCGCATGTGTGTGTATACGTGTGTGTGTGTGTGTGTGTGTGTGTGGGCGTGCGTGGTTTGTCAGGGCCTCGTATGGCCAGTATTTTCCGCAATGTCAAGATTTTATCATTTTTATCTATTACGTCCTTGGGTTTTGGCTTCTTTCTTCCAATTGGTTACCATTTCAACTTAGTATTTCAAGGTCTGGTTAAAATTTCCAACCCTCTGTGTTGTTATAAAGTGTGGCACAGAGTGAGTGCAAGCATGGTATGACAGGTCTCACATGCATGTATGGTTGTAGTGGGTCGTGTGAGCTAAGAATGGAACCACCGGCACTGGGATTCCGTGCAAGATGATGATGGACAAATACTCAGCCAAGCTGCCCCAGTCAGCTCAGGAATCCTCAACATTTTTTTGTTTCGAGTACACTTGCAAACTCCGTTTGCTGCCACTTACACATAAAGTTACCTCAATTCAACACTCGCACAACATTTAAAAATGCGATAACACTATATTGTCTATTCAACGACCATGCCAAATCACTCATCATCACTGTAACCAGGTCTTCTGAAGTAATAGATTTATTATACATCAAGTCATGCTAATGGCACGGTCCATAGCAAGCACTCTGGCATAAAAGCAACTGGTTATAAATTATTTTAGAATTGCAATTCAACAAGCCATTTTTAAAGTTTTAAATAGGAAAAAACGAGTCGACAGTCTCACAGATCAAGTAAGTTTTAGTTTGTGTGTGAACTGATAACTGAGCTAATCCTAATGAAAAATGACCCATAAAATACTGCGGGTACAGGTGTGATTTACAACTCTGATGTACGAACGACATCAGGTTGCCATAGGAAATGTGAACCAGGGAGCCCGAAGGTAACTTTATGTATCTCAAAAAGGTTAAATAGACCTCTCGTCTTTGCAAAAACGCAACGCTGAGTAGTGGGATTGGACACCTATGAGGGTGTGAGCTTCACCAGGTACGCCTCTCCTGCTGGCATGTCAAACGCGGACAAGTTGAGTGCCAAACTGACGTTGGTGGATAGCGATGCTGACAATTGCACATGGCCGGTGGATTGATACCCAGCCAGACCGCTGCCCGTGAGGCTGACGGCCTTGGAAGCAGTGCTGGCAAAGTTCAGAACAACTAGATACTGGTTATTGGTGCTGCCACTGCCATCAGTGGTGCTTGTGTATTCTCGTGCATACGCCAGAAGCGCGTCGGTGGCGTGAATGAGACGATAACTGGAATGCTGCAAGGCTGGCTCGCTGGATCGTATCTGAGCCAGGCGTTTGTAGAGCTGCAGCATGGACCGCGGCTGAGCGAGCTGAGCTGCGACGTTCACCTCGGTATAGGTGCTTGCCACGGGCAGCCAGGTGTCGACACCGGCCGACGTGAAGCCACTGTTGCTGCTGTTGTCCCATTGCATGGGAGTTCGCTCTGGATCACGCGACAAGCTGATATCGCCAGTGTTGAGAGCGCTCGGGTCCACGGTCTCGTTCCAGGTGACGTTCCCGTCGATCATGCCAATCTCCTCGCCGTAGTACGTTGTTGGCGTTCCCGGTAAGGTCAGCAGCAGGAAGTTGGCCGTCCGTGCCAGAGACGCGCTTAGGCGACTGGCCACGCGCTTGTTGTCATGATTTCCAAGAACCCAGTTTGGCCACTGATCCTTGGACGTGGCATTCAGCCACTGGCCGACAACATTGCCAATTTTCCTGCCAGTCCAGTCACTTGCCTGCAAGCCAATAAGAAGAAAGTTGAATGGGAAGTGACACTCGGGACTTGAAGCATTGCCGTACAGTTCAAGCACATCTTCCAGTTCAGGGGCATACATTTCACCCACCATGAATTTCGGATGCGTAGCATTGAAGAACTCGCTCGAATCCAGCACCTCGCGGAAGGAGCGTACAATGGCGTGGAAGCCTGGCTGTGCAAATGTGTACGAGTGGTTCATGGTGTTCCATTCGTGACAGGCAACGCTTACTGAACCATTGAGCGTGCAGGTTTCGTTGCGAAACTCCGCATCTTCCAAGAGAAAAGCAATGGCATCCACCCGGAATCCGTCCACGCCGCGACGCAGCCAAAACCGCAGCACGTCTTCCATGGCTGCCCGCACGTGCGGATTGCGGTAGTTCAGATCGGGCTGTTCCTTGGTGAACTGGTGGAAGTAGTACTGCTGTGTCCTGTTGTCATACTGCCATGCCGAGCCACCGAACAAACTCTGCCAGTTGTTCGGCGGGCCTCCGTCACTGGCCGCATCTTGCCATATGTACCAGTCACGCTTCGGATTGGATCCGCTACTGCTACTCTCAGTAAACCAGGCGTGCTTATCCGACGTGTGGTTGGGAACAAAATCAAGCAGCAATTGCATGCCGCGGTCATGCAGCGCTCTGATCAACTCGTCGAAATCCGTCAGGTTGCCGAAGATGGGGTCCACGTTTGTGTAGTTTGAGATGTCGTAGCCGAAATCCACCATCGGCGACTCAAACATGGGGCTCAACCAGACGGTCCGTATGCCCAGATCGCGCAGGTAATCCACGCGGCTTGAGATTCCCCTAAGGTCACCAATACCATCGTTATTACTGTCTTGTAGAGACCTTGGATATACTTGATAGATAATATTGCGCTGCCACCATGCCAGCTGTTCGCCATTGTCGGAATTATTCGTATTACATGTCGGTGATGCCAATATAAGTAGCACAATGCACGACACGCCAGCACCGAACACCACTGCAAAACAAAACCAGTAGGCGAAGCGCATTTGTCGACTCATCTGCTGCGATTCCGCTGCCATGCTACGTTTACTACGCATCGACACTACCGCTTTGCTATGCGTGCTTCGGTAATCGTCGTCATCATCCACTGCCAAGTTATCGTCATCCGTGTCGCTGCCACTGGTACGTCCACTGTCCTCAGAATCCTCGTCCGCTAGCAGCCTGGTTTTGTCGCTGGTGTTTCGCTCAATGCCGGTACCAACGCTGGTTGAGATCGCACCGTTCGCGGC